GGATAAATTTTTAACAAGGGACATAAATCTTAGTACCAATTATAATCTCAGAAATGCTGATATAAATCTTTCAGTTCCTAAACTACGTACTGAATATTTAAAAAAGAGTTTTGGATATAGCGGGGCTGTTCTATACTATGGAATAGTTTACCTACGCAGGCAAAGCAAACAGAATCTTTAAGTAGCTTCAAAAATTTGATAAAATAATGTGTGCAACAGAGTCAGGCATCGAATACTGTACTGTACTGTACTGTACTGTACTGTACTGTACTGTACTGTACTGTACTGTACTGTACTGTACTGTACTGTACTGTACTGTACTGTACTGTACTGTACTGTACTGTACTGTACTGTACTGTACTGTACTGTACTGTACTGTACTATAAGTATTCACAAAACCTGAAGATTTGGAAACAGTTATTATCGAGGCAGAAGACACACAGAATTTTATCGCAGAGACAATTTGTTACAATTAAAAATCTTATTGAGAACAAAGCCAAGTCCATGAACATAAGTCAGCACGACCAAGCAGCAGGAGCAAGTAACAATATTCAACAAACGCCAGAAAACTACCAGGCAACGAGCAGTGAGAGCGAACCAGCAGGAAATCAACCATCAACACCACAAGAGACACAACCACAATCAAGCACACTAAGTCAAAATTTACCTGTCAATTTAAACCAGCCACCCACTACAAGTACATCAATGGAAAGTACAAACCCCATCATTTCGAACAGTAATTACTGCATGAGTCGACTCCCAAAGTTAGCACTACCAACTTTTGACGGCAACCCCTTGAATTGGCAAACGTTCTGGGATTCCTTTCGCACAGCAGTACATGATAACCCATATCTAAGCAACAAACAGAAACTGAACTATTTAAGAGCCCAATTAATTTAGGAAGCACTAAGGTCAATCAGCAAACAAACAGCCCGGATTCCATCATCTATTAGCGGTCTCTAAATTTAGGTAGTCTCTCTCTCACGACTAGTGAACGTCGCAGCATACATTTTACGGTTTGTGAAAAACTGCAAAGACAATCAAGTTAAGAAAATCGCACCTCTTACCCCAAACGAAAGGGAAGAAGCAACTCATCAGTTGAATCAGAACGCACAGCAATTGACAAACCGTAACGAAATCGATAATCTCGCAGCGGAAAAGGCACAACGATTACCTTTAGTACGCCAACTTCGACTATTCAAGGACACGCTTGACCTTCTTCGCTCTGGTGGGAGAATACACAACGCGCTCCTCGCAGAATCAACGAAATTCCCAATGCTTCTACCACCGAGAAATGACTTCACGAAGCTCATAATCGTCCAAAGTCATGTTCGCCAGTTGCACTCGGGTGTGAACGCAACACTAACGCTACGTCAACGATTTTGGATTCCTTCCGAACGACAACTGGTGAAGAAGATCATCAATAAATGTGTCACCTGCAGGAAGATATGCGGAAGCTCGTATAATTCTCCAGATCTACCACATTATAAGCCTCCGCAATTTCGACATTTCGTTGCGGTTTCTTGAAGCTTTCGTATAGCTTCATATTTCTGTTCTTCCGACTCAATATCACGGGCTTGATAAGCACTTTGCTCATCACGTCTACCATCAATTAAAAATAGCTTTCAGATCGTACGTAGGATCACATAGAGCTTTCTTCCGAATTCTAGACGATGAGCCAGCCGTAACAATTTGTTGCTCGATCTCGAAATCTGCGTCTGCGAAATAACACGTTTGGGCGAGCATACGTAAACGCGTATGAAACTGATCTAACGTTTCGTGTGCTTCTTGAGTAGCTTGTCTGAATTGGTACACTTCGTAACCGACGATTCTTTTGAGGTTCGAAATACTCCGTGAGCTTGTCTGTAGCAGTTTTATAGTCCGCTGCTGTTCCCGTATTCGGTAATTGGCGAAAAATTTCTCTGACGCGTTGTCCCGCTTGATAGAGAGGCAAGGCACGTTTGCGATTCTCATCTGTGATGCCACTGGCAAGTATAAACATTTTAAAATCATCGAGCCAATTCGTCCAACAAGTGGCCAAACTCGCTCCGACTTCTGAATCAGGATTAAATTCAGGTAGAGGTTGTATAGAAACCGACGGTGTGCTAATAGTCATCGGTTGCGCAGCTTGTTCGTCATCGGCCATGCTCGTCGCCAATATAGTATCTCTATATTTGTTTATTTGTTTATTGCTATATGATAATACTACAGGTCTATTCGTAGTCCAAACACTAACTATAACTGAATATATATATTGATGTTCTTTTGTTTATATGAGTTTATATAGTTAATATTACCAAGTGATATATCCTGTCGAAACAGAACACCTATATTATAACTATAGTGACGTATTGACTATACTACAGCTTGCATTAAAACACATTATTTATTGTGAATTATCGAGTTATGAATGGCTTAATCATTTCGCAGATATGTCTAAAATCGACAACACAAAGCAAGTACGGCATGGAATTTACTACTGAAATGTTTACACTTACTCAAACCGGTACAACATTATAAACATCATCATCAAAACTGACAAAATATAAATTATTATAAACTTTGTTTGACGGTTGAACAGCCATTAATTCATGCAACTGCAGGGTTACTTCCAGATAAAATCGGAAAAAAAAAACACGTTTTGTGCTTTCGGAACATGCTGTAAAACAGAAAAGTACAACAAAACTCGTCCTTTCAAAATGAAAAACAGTCATTTTAGCCAGAGCTTGCACTCACGCATGCGCATAACGTCGAAAACCGACCATGACATAAACAAAATGGAGGACAACTTTGAACTTCGCTATGTTTTCACATACCCGCGGATATAATTAGCCGTGCGGAATTAATAACCTCGCCCCGGGCTTACGCCCAGAACGGCGCTCTGCGCCGTTGGCTCGGTGATAAATATAATCGGTAATTTACCCTCTCTTTTTTCACTCGCTTATTTGAACTTTGTAACCGTTTTAGAAATAAATATATATATAATACATATACTCTTGTAAATAGGCTGTTGCGGTATTTAAAAGAAAACGAAAATCGATACCGGAAAAAAATACCGATATATCGGTACTTTTTCGCGATTGTATTTTGCTGGAAAGACTCTAAAAATGCCATTTCCATTGGTCTAGAAACTTCAAATTTTCAAAAAGTTTTGCTCGGCACCAACCATATTGGCGCCTCGCAGGCGTCCCAAAAATTTGCTTATTAATTTAAAGAACATGTAAAGTCCGTATTGTAAACGAACGCTTTGTTTACATTTTGAACTCAGTGCTACAGTTGTAAAATATGATTACATATATATTATTATTATTGATGTTTATTAAAACTCTCTTGCAGTTATACAACTGAATTAACGAGCTTACTAGTAAAATTTACATAATATTTCTAAGGTAATGTTCATATTAAGATGTTCAAATTTAGACTATTATTATTTATTCCTAATATTTACAGCATATTTCTAATTATTCAATTAAACAGAATTAATGGAAAAATTTAAAGTAAGAAAGGATTGTGCTCTGTTCGTTTTACAGACCGTATTATTTTTCAATAGGTAAAATTGTTCTGATTTCCTTCTCAGATTACGCTGATTCTCAGAGACGACCGGTTTTGGAAGTAGATTATGTAGGGGATGGTCTTTAGATTTCATTTTGTCCATATATTTCTCACACAATAGATCTCTTCTACTCTTGAGTGTAGGAATGTCAGCTAGATTTAGTGCGTCTGTGTACGAATCACACTCAGGATAGATAATTTTGAGTGATCTCTTTTGCACGACTTTGATTGCCTCAGACAAATAGTCCGGGATGGCTTGCCATACCGTTACGGCGTATTCCAGCACTGGTCGTACTGTAGTTAAATAAACTTTTAAGATATTATCATTTTCGACTCCAGCTCTACGCAGTACCCTTAGCGAATATAGTTTCTTACTGGCTTTCTTGATAATGTGGTCGACATGACAGTTCCACTTTAGATTACTACTCATGATCACACCTAGAATCTTATAAGTCTTCACTGTTCTATAACGTAGTTACCTATTTGTATAGGTTTAATCAGAAAGTTTGGATTGCGTAGGAAGTTAATAAGCATTTCTTTGCATTTGGTAGGATTTAGCTTCATATTATGCTCTATGGCAAAATTATGTATGTCAGCAGCAGCATTGTTTAGGACGCTAATGGAATTTCTTGGAATAATCTCCAGTACGGATGTATCATCGATAAATTTAGTCCGAAGATTTCATTCCCAGAGCAATTTGTTTGTCATGACAATAAAGAGAATTGCGCCTAGTTTAGTTCCTTGAGGAACCGCACCCTTCACTAATTTCCAGTCTGATAGAACTCCATCAATTTTAACAGCCTGCATACGGTTGGTTAGAAAGGCTGCGATCCAATTCAAAAGTGCAGGATGAACTTGTAGGTTCTCTAGTTCGTATAGAAGGATGGTATGACCAATAAGGTCGAACCCTTTAGAAAAATCAGCAAAGAATAAGCGTGCTCCGGCCTCACCAGTGTCCACTGCTTCGTAGATTGCTTGCAATGTATATAGTAGAGCATCTGTTGTTGAATGATTTTTACGAGCATATTGGCGCGGATCCAGCTTATCTTCTAACTGAGGTAGGAGATGTAAAACCTTCCATGACCTTTGCTATGGTACATGTCAACGAGATAGGTCGGAGGTCATTTTCTATGGTTCTAGGGGGTTGATCTTCGATACTGGAATAACAATTGATGATTTGAGGAGTTCAGGAATATATCCCTCTTTCATTGATTGGTTATAAATATCTTTCATGATAGGTGCCAACTCATGCGCGAATTCCTTCAGGACTCTATTCGGGATGTAATCAGGACCGACTGATTTATTTACTTGGAGCAATGATAATGCTCTGTAGACCTCGTTTTCAGTTACAAAGAAATCCTGTGGAACTTCATGGGATACAATGCGTGGGGTTAAGGGCTCAAAATAATCAGTAAGGCCAGTAAAGAAGTTGTTAATCCTATTAGCTAGTAACTTAGTGTCAGAGCTATTTTCTAGAAACTGATGGTGCCATTCCAGTTTTGAACTTTGCCCAGAGAGTTTTTTAATTTCTCTCCACCATTTTGTGGAATTAACTCTTTGTACATCAGTAACTTTAACGCTATAATATTGGTATTTTGCTGCACGAATGGAACGTTGGACTTTGTTTCTCCAATATCGGTATGCTGTTGACATTTTCCCTTGCTGGATAAAAGCTGATTGGCGTTTTTGAATCCCTTTTTTTATCTTAGTAGTGATCCATGGTCGATCTGTTGGGTGCTTTTTAACCTTTTTTTGTGAAAGGAATCTATCAATAGCCTGGTTAAGATCTGAGTTAAAAAGATAAAATTTATCTTTACACATATTAGCTTCGAGGACAGAGGACCAATCTTTTTGAGTAATCCATCGACCTAGCGCACACCACGCACTATCCCTCATATCGCCTACTGTATTTTAGATTTACTTATTAGTTTAGTTTCACCTTCAAGTATAGGCTTTGCCAAAATTGAATAATGGTCAGATGATGCAATCTTAGGTAGCTGGGTTAAAGAGAACAGTTTAGGTCTGTTCGTAAACAGCCAGTCTAAAATACCAGAATCTCTTGTTTTAAAGGTAACCAACTGTTTAAGGCTATTCACTTGGGTTATATATTTTTGATTAAAACCAGTCGATGTTGGATTAAAATCGCCTGTTAGAATAATTAATGCATTTGGCTGTTTAAGTAACGCAACATCAAGATTTTTTTAAACATGATCACGTAAAATAATGTTCTCAGGTTTCCCATTAATCGTCGAATGATAGACCACGCCTACTACGATTGATGCAACTTCTCTTGGTAAACTATGTGGTCTCATTGATATCCATGTTGATTCGAGCTCCGTTTGATCACATAATTCCAAAAGTTTGCATGGTATATTTTGGTCTACGTACACACACACACACACACACACACACACACACACACACACCACAAGACGTTTCAATTCGGTCCCTGCGGAATAAATTATAACCAGGAATAGAAATGGATGAGTCAGGAATTTCTGGCGATAACCAAGTTTCGGTTATACAAATAGCACCAACAGAATTGAGCACAGCTATTTGTTAAATCTCATCTACTTTCTTTGGCAGCGGCCTCACATTCGCAGATAGAATGGTGGGAATATCATACCTTTTGGGGATTTTTATCTTTTTCAAATTTTTTAGAGCATGATAGTTGACTGCTTTACCTGGATTCTGATACGGGTGTCTCTTACGTCTAGTAATTCTTGTGGAAATTTCATGTGTGGGATTTTCTATTACATGGGGCTTTGATTGATAAACTGAACTACGTGTTATTGTGAGACAGTTATTCGACGTACCAGATCTAGATGTTCGATCCAATCTGGAGCCTTTCTTTGTATATGATACCGGAACCATGTGACTTTGATGTTTTGGCCTGTTTTGGTAGAGGTTTGGTAATAGTAATTCTCTCGGTCTCGTTCTTGGGATAGTCGGGCACGAGAACGTTTTCGGGGGCGCTTTCGAAAATAATTGCTTCGTATTTGTCCATTTTGTTGTTCCGATCTCTGTAAGTTTACTTTGAGAGGTGGAGATGGCGGGTTAAATCGTTTATTATCAAGAAGTGGTAAATTGTGGTCGATAATATTTGTCGATTTCTTTGCATTTGAATCAACTTTTTTATGTTGGTCACCGTGGGAGGTTTTTACAGGTTCACGGGTTCGTCCTTGAATTATAAGGGACAAATCAGCTTCAAGGCGCTCACATTTTTCTCTCTCACTAGAAAGTTCGATTTTCAGCCGGTTCACCTGATCGGCTCGGGATTTACTAGCATTAGTCTTAATAGTTAACATGCACAACTGAACGAAAGCGTACGAATAGCCTCATTAACTGAACGACAAACGCGCTTAAACTCGCTTGCTTATTGGTCGAGACGAAAAATTATAAATTTTCGTCAGCTAAACGTATGCGATCATCACATGACGTTCCAAGACAAACGTACGTATGTGTCGAAACTCTTAAAACCAGGCTTGCTGGTTGGTCGAGACAGTGCATTATGAATTTTCGTCTAGTGAGTAAACCAATATATTCTAATCGTCAAGACTATAATTTGAATGTCTGCCATGAAAAAACAAGAGTGCGTAAACACAATTGAATTGAATTTTTAATTACCAGTTATTAACAACAATAGGATAACTTTCTATACTGTAGTATCATTTTTTGTTGGGACATCCACACACAACTAATTAATGTCAATTCGTCAACCGAAGACTGGCCTCATAATAATTTGTTTACACAAATCTAAACTCTAAAGTACGTGGCGCATAATTAGGTAAGCCTGAGCAACTTGAAGTGTCCTTTCACAATGCAATTATATTTACAGAAAGGAAAGTTAGCTCCTTTAACTTTGGGTTATTAGATTGGGCGCATGTTTGTACCAGGAATAATAGTACAGACTGGCGTTTAAAATGCATGGTTAATTCACTCAGTAAAGCTAGGGATCGGAAAGTATATAAGGATAGTGAATCTGTCTTCTATTTCCTCTCCTCGTTTGCGAGTAAACTGTTGGGCGTACATCACGTACAATCTGTAGAAAGGATTCGACACTTTCCCCCGTTAAATTCCAAAACAGAAATTGCTCTCTTTCATTGAAAAAGTCGCGACCATTAGTAGTTATATCTCGGGCTTAATGGACCCCATTATATGCGCATAATTAGCCTAGTTACCCTTAATAATTCATGAGTTATGCAAATTAATTTGAATAATCGATGACGTATTTTTCCGAAGGTTCTCCGATGATGATAAAACAACGAGGGCTTTCCGATAATTAATTTGCATAATCGATGACGTATTTTCCGAAGGTTCTCCGATGATAAAACAACGAGAGCTTTCCGATTAGTCGCGATTTTGTTTCAAGATGGCGGAAGGGTTAATAATGGCGGTTTTAAGGGAAAATAACATTGAATTGAGTGTGAATACTTTTCGTTTAAAATTGCTTTTGGAAAAGCATGGGGGTTTATTTGAAAGCATGGTAGCTCGTATTAGAAGAGAAAACGTACTTGAAAATTTGTGTGTAATCTATCAGGAGTTAGACCCTTCAAATTTTGGTCGAATTATGGCTTACTTGACTTTAGTTTACAAAGTCAGTGATTTTTGTGAGCCTGAAATTGTGCAAGAAGCCGTAGAAGTCTGTGTATGGGAATTAAAACAGGTGGACATAGCTAGCTTTGAAATAAAACAATCTTGGATACAACGTTTAATTGCATGGTTACGCGACTAATAACCTGGCGAAATTTGAATATCACTAATCCGGGTTCAATAGCAAAAGTCATTAACTGTCCTACATGGCTGAACACATTGTACTTTTACGACATTAGTGAGGTTAATTAAGATACCACGGTTTACGGGTACGAGTGATATACACGTACCCGTAAATCGAGGAACGACTTGTCACTTAAGAAATCCAAGATATTCCGGCGTGAGAAAACCGATCAGAGAATGGCAACTTTCGATGTTGAGGTTCTTCATTGATTGTTGAAAACTTTGACAAGTATATGTGCAGTATTTAATTGGGTAAGATATTGAAACTTTGTACTATTTGAACGGCCCACAAATAGTAAACAGAAAACACCCGTACCCGTTTGTCTTTAGGGACCTTAAGCAAACAGGACGGCAACGCGACTTCGACGGCTATTCACACAATGATATTCCTGATCTCGTACAAAAGAAATGAGTAATTAAAAGCCCCACGGGAGCAAAAAAAAAAAAAAAATGGAAAATTTTGGCTTTGCAACAAAAATAACCCCAAGAGTTGTGAATTTGATCCAGAAGAAGCGTTAGAAGCAGCTGTTGATAAGAGAATGTTTCTTATAAGGCTTTTAAAGCGTTACGCTTTGGCCCGAAAACTACAAAAAGTACAAATATTTTTACGTATACTCTAACTCTACCATTGCATACAAAGGCGGACATTATGAAAACGACTTACTGAACAGTCTCAGTATTCCAGCCGTAAATTTGGATGTCCTAAAGCTGAAAAACTCTTTGACCAAATCATCTGGCTGGAAATGTGCAAAAAACCACCTATACGCTTTGGCCCGAAAACTACAAAAAGTACAAATATTTTTACGTACACTCTAACTCTACCATTGCATACAAAGGCGGACATTATGAAAAAGACTTACTGAACAGTCCCAGTATTCCAGCCGTAAATCTGGAGTCCTTTGGATGTCCTAAAGCTGAAAAACTCTTTGACCAAATCATCTGGCTGGAAACCTGCAAAAACCACCTATCAACACTGTCCGAAAGTTGAATGATTAGTTTATGTACACAAATGTATAAATTTTCGTATTCGCATGTTTTTTGCCATTTTGATTTCTATCCGGCCAACCCATGTAAAAATGACAAGAAAAGACAGGTATAATTGAAAAGCAATTTATTTTAATGACTCGAAGTTACATGCTGTGCATGTCTATAATGCTGGTGTTGTTTTACGTGCTAATACTGTTCGAGTACAAGACTTCAATCCTATATTCGACCTATCAGTCGAGTCTAATCATCATTGCATGTCATCATCATTCTCTTCATCAGAATCGTAACCCTTTAAAAGCCTTCTTATAAGAAACATTTAACTCCGCACTACTACGCACAGATTTTGTTAGATTTTCAAAATCATGTCGGGTACAATTTTGTGCGATGAGCACATGCTCATAACTGCTCATGAGCACATGCTCATCTGCTCATAACTGCTCATGAGCACATGCTCATCTGCTCATAAAACTGTGGTGCTGCTCAATAACAAGGCATTTCTACATAAAAATAACAAGAAAAGACAGGTATAATTGAAAATCAATTTATTTTAATGACTCGATGTTACATGCTATACTGGTATTGTTTTACATGCTAATACTGTTCGAGAACAAGACTTCAATCCTATATTCGAGTCTAATCATCATTGCATGTCATCATCATTCTCTTCATCAAAATCGTAACGCTTTAAAAGCCTTCTTATAAGAAACTTTCTCTTATCAACAGCTGCTTCTAACGCTTCTTCTGGATCAAAATCGTCGTTTTCCACAAGCGCATCTTTTGTGTGCATTATCTTCTTATGTATTGGATCTTTCTTTAGTTGTCTCATCCACACGAGACGCTCCATATAAATATTTTCCAGTTCCTTCTGGAGTTTAGGAAGCATATTAGAGAAAGCTTTGTTCTTAGCGGATTGCTCATCTAAACCAGTGTTTATAAGGCTTTCTTTCATTTCCTCTAATGCTATACTTTTTCTTTGTTTTGCTTCTTCTATCAACGGTATCCAAGGGTCCATTTCCTCTTCCGTTTCCGAATCATTATCAGTCCTCATCGAAATTTCAGACACATCAGTTGAAGCTGTTGAGACGTCATCTTGGAAATCCCTTTCCTGGCTGTCCGAGTCGGTTTGAGACATGTTTCGTTCTTGTACACGTAGAGGACAATATTCCTTTTCGTGTCTTCGTAAATTGTAACCACGGTTAAATTGCTTTCTGCAAAATTTGCAGCTCATTCCGTCAGCACTGACTGTGTAGAAATGCCTTGTTATTGAGCAGCAGTACAGTTTTATGAGCAGATGAGCATGTGCTCATGAGCAGTTATGAGCAGATGAGCATGTGCTCATGAGCAGTTATGAGCAGATGAGCATGTGCTCATGAGCAGTTATGAGCATGTGCTCATGAGCAGTTATGAGCAGATGAGCATGCGCTCATGAACAGTTATGAGCATGTGCTCATCGCACAAAATTGTACCCGACATGATTTTGAAAATCTAACAAAATCTGTGCATAGTAGTGCGGAGTTAAATGTTTCTTATAAGAAGGCTTTTAAAGGGTTACGATTCTGATGAAGAGAATGATGATGACATGCAATGATGATTAGACTCGACTGATAGGTCGAATATAGGATTGAAGTCTTGTACTCGAACAGTATTAGCACGTAAAACAATACCAGTATTATAGACATGCACAGCATGTAACTTCGAGTCATTAAAATAAATTGCTTTTCAATTATACCTGTCTTTTCTTGTCATTTTTACATGGGTTGGCCGGATAGAAATCAAAATGGCAAAAAACATGCGAATACGAAAATTTATACATTTGTGTACATAAACTAATCATTCAACTTTCGGACAGTGTTGATAGGTGGTTTTTGCAGGTTTCCAGCCAGATGATTTGGTCAAAGAGTTTTTCAGCTTTAGGACATCCAAATTTACGGCTGGAATACTGAGACTGTTCAGTAAGTCGTTTTCATAATGTCCGCCTTTGTATGCAATGGTAGAGTGAGAGTATACGTAAAAATATTTGTACTTTTTGTAGTTTTCGGGCCAAAGCGTAACGCTTTAAAAGCCTTATAAGAAACATTCTCTTATCAACAGGACTCCAGATTTACGGCTACAATACTGGGACTGTTCAGTAAGTCTTTTTCATAATGTCCGCCTTTGTAGGCAATGGTAGAGTTAGAGTCTACGTAAAAATATTTGTCCTTTTTGTAGTTTTCGGGCCAAAGCGTATAGGTGGTTTTTTGCACATTTCCAGCCAGATGATTTGGTCAAAGAGTTTTTCAGCTTTAGGACATCCAAATTTACGGCTGGAATACTGAGACTGTTCAGTAAGTCGTTTTCATAATGTCCGCCTTTGTATGCAATGGTAGAGTTAGAGTATACGTAAAAATATTTGTACTTTTTGTAGTTTTCGGGCCAAAGCGTAACGCTTTAAAAGCCTTATAAGAAACATTCTCTTATCAACAGCTGCTTCTAACGCTTCTTCTGGATCAAATTCACAACTCTTGGGGTTATTTTTGTTGCAAAGCCAAAATTTTCCATTTTTTTTTTTTTCTCCCGTGGGGCTTTTAATTACTCATTTCTTTTGTACGAGATCAGGAATATCATTGTGTGAATAGCCGTCGTCGTCGCGTTGCCGTCCTGTTTGCTTAAGGTCCCTAAAGACAAACGGGTACGGGTGTTTTCTGTTTACTATTTGTGGGCCGTTCAAATAGTACAAAGTTTCAATATCTTACCCAATTAAATACTGCACATATACTTGTCAAAGTTTTCAACAATCAATAAAGAACCTCAACATCGAAAGTTGCCATTCTCTGATCGGTTTTCTCACGCCGGAATATCTTGGATTTCTTAAGTGACAAGTCGTTCCTCGATTTACGGGTACGTGTATATTACTCGTACCCGTAAACCGTGGTATCTTAATTAACCTCTCTAATGTCGTAAAAGTACAATGTGTTCAGCCATGTAGGACAGTTAATGACTTTTGCTATTCAACCCGGATTAGTGATATACAAATTTCGCTAGGTTACTAGTCGCGTAACCATGCAATTAAGCGTTGTATCCAAGACTGTTTTATTTCAAAGCTAGCTATATCCACTTGTTTTAATTCCCATACACAGATTTCTACGGCTTCTTGCACAATTTCAGGCTCACAAAAATCACTGACTTTGTAAACTAAAGTCAAGTAAGCCATAATTCGACCAAAATTTGAAGGGTCTAACTCCTGATAGATTACACACAAATTTTCAAGTACGTTTTCTCTTCTAATACGAGCTACCATGCTTTCAAATAAACCCCCATGCTTTTCCAAAAGCAATTTTAAATGGAAACGAAAAGTATTCACACTCAATTCAATGTTATTTTCCCTTAAAACCGCCATTATTAACCCTTCCGCCATCTTGAAACAAAATGGCGACTAATCGGAAAGCTCTCGTTGTTTTATCATCGGAGAACCTTCGGAAAATACGTCATCGATTATGCAAATTAATTATCGGAAAGCCCTCGTTGTTTTATCATCATCGGAGAACCTTCGGAAAAATACGTCATCGATTATGCAAATTAATTTGCATAACTCATGAATTATTAAGGTAACTACGCTAATTATGCGCATAGAATGGGGATATAACTACTGTGCATTTTCTTCTTCGTTGCTCACAGACAATGGATCGTAGAATATCGCCGATCAATGTGAACCAGGCTTTAGAGTATTTGATCTCTACAGTTTAGAGTATATTACAAACGTATTAGTATATTTATCGATACTCGATCGAGAAACGTTCGCCTTTTGCGAGTTTTAGTGTATACGAACTCGTCTCTTCTTCAACAGGCTCCACTCTTTTGCAACTTTTTCCAAGTCAAGAGTTTTTCCAAGTAAGGTCTTTCTCGCAGGTTAAAAGCATAAGACCAGTCAGCCTTGAGTCGTTCATTGACTCGTACGTAGTTTGTTCTTCACAAACTTCAATTGACTAAATGAACGTTCGTTTGAAGCCACAGTCACAGGAGCCGTTAGCATCAATCTGACTGTCGAATTTGCCGATGGAAGGGACATTTTGTTGGCTTCGCTGACTTCAACCACCTTGTTATAGTCTTTGCCAACGTCGGAAGGTAATAACTCTGCCAATACTTGTAATTCGGCTTCTACAGCTAATGGGTCAGGTGATTGTGCAGGTGGAAATAATGAGAGAGCGGAATGAATGCACGATATATCAATTGGTAGCTTCCAACACTTTAACAAAGGCAAAATGCTCTTCTTACACGGATGCTTCAATTTGATCGTCCATCATTTTGTCGTCATCTCGTAACTTCTGCATGATGCTTAGCGTTCCATCAACAAAGCCTGTTGCATCCAAAATATTGAGATAAACTGATTGCAGCTCCACCACCAGACTTTTCGTTTTATACGCAATGTTTTTCATGAACATCAGTGCAACAACAAAGTCAAGCGAAAGCATTTTTTTCTTAAACCAAGTGCTTGCGTTTTGAAACGTTTCCACTATTTGAAACGTTTTTGCTTCCTGCATGGCGTCGTTTTCATACGTTTTCGTGTAAACAGAACGTGAAAACGGTACTTTCAGAAACGCATTACAACCAAAATCGCTCGGAAACGTTACCGTGTGCACATAGTCTGAGTAACGAGTGTCTTAGCCTGTGGTGCAGACGAGCAAAGTCAGCAAAGTTATCCTAATATCTGTGATTCCACTGATATTTTATTTCAATCTTTTCATAGCAATTTCATGAATTTGACCTTTTTTATTAACCCCAGGCGCCGAATAGACAATTTTTTATTTTTTTTTTGTATTTTGAGCAGTCTTAAAACACTCTTACTTAGTGGTGGCTAGTGCTAACTGGGCTTTTGTACGACCCGATTTTCCAAGCGTTTAAATTTTATGCGTCAGAGTAAAACGGATATGCAACCGATGATACCGATCGCTGTATGCGGTATGTCTTTCAAAACTGTAGGTTGATCAGAGTTAACAGTAATTTCGCTAATTAAGAACTAAAAGAAAACAAGTCCCTTCTTACCGCATGGTTCGTCTTTCTCTTGGTCTTTTATTCTTGTGCCTGTGTAGTCTTCTTGAGGATCCTGCGCCTCTGACGAGTCAAAATACTCTCTTTGGCTTTGACCGCGCTTTGCAGCCAAAAACGGATTAGCCGGTGCATCTTTGTGTGCTACTCGCACTCGCTTTCCCTGATGGCAAGTTTGCTCGTGCCTCTTACGGTAATCGTCGTCAAAAATCGAATTACATTCAAGACACTGAAGTTTTATGCTTTTTATTTTGGGTTTTGAACCGCGCATAACTGATAAAAAAGCAATCTAGTGAAGAACATGCCTGAGGATTAGGAACTGTTGATTTTTTAGTCGGAAAACATGGGTTTCACATTTCAGCCTCCCGTCGATTTTCGACAAATAAAGACAAATACCGATTACAAGTAATACATTTAGACAGACCATGGTGATTTTGGCATAAGGCCACATTTTGGCATTATAAATCCACAATTTATCGCTTTATCTCTCGCCTTCGTTCTTCCCTTTTACAATTTGCTAAATGCCGATTTCGCGATTTGCCGAACAGTGACGAAGCAATTTGCCGACTGGGCCGATTTGCGAAAATTATTGGGGGGGTGAAGCACCCCCCCCACACCCCCCCGCTCGCGACGGCCCTGTGTAAAAGTAAAGTTGGGAACGAACAAGAATCTACTTTGAATGTTAATCCTGCTATGGAAATGCCTACACAAATGTGTCTACCTGTAAAGTCTTGCAAAGCAGTCAAATGTTGCTGTGGTAAAGTCTGCAAAGGAGCTCGTGGACTTAAAATGCACCAACGAAGCTGTAGAGTTACTGACGACCTTGAAGACGAACTGCAACAACAAATGATTGAAGCATTGAACGACGACAATCATGGGGATAACACTGACCCAGTTAACCCTGAAATATCACATTTGAACACCCAAGAAAACTTCCCCGACTTAAAAAGGGGGATAAAACTACCCAAATCGCTATTACAATGGTCAACTGCCAACGACTTTTTCAAGCTAACTTTTTTGAATCACCCAATCACACCGGATAATCTAAATAACAACATCAATACCATGGTAACCGTCGTCTACAATTACTTTAGTGGGAATTTTGGACATGTTGATAACAATAGCAGTGTAGAATTCGAAAGAAAATACCAAACATTTTCAACAAAGGATTTAAAAAAAGTTTTAAAGAAATTAAAACTGGAAAACGGTAGTATTCTGGAGATAAAATTTGTCGCGAAGAAATTGCGCATCCTCCTTAATAAGTCAAATAATACGGAACTACATAATTCTGATAGTCATGCATCTGCAGACATTGATCACGATAATCTAATTGGTAAAAACTTCTGGGGTTACGTTAAAAAATTCTTCAAAAAGAATACCAGTTCATTTCCATCATTTAATTTAGCGCAATGTACATCCTATTTTACCAAAACATTCTCCGCGATTAACCCAAATAAAACATTCAATATTCCTAGTTGGATCCCAAAATTTTCTTCTCCTCAAACACTTTTTAAGCTTGACCCCCCGACCTATCAAGAGATTACAAACGTCATAAACTGTCTGGCTCACCATGCCCACTTGATCAGATATCAATAATCTGTTTGAAACGATGTCCGTATCTACGTTCCTACTTGACTGAGATAATCCATGCAGCTTGGTCACGCGGTGTTGTTCCATCTGAATGGAAAAAAGCATGCACAATATTAATTGACAAGAAAGGAGAAACAAACGACCCAGCAAACTTTCGACCAATTACTCTTGAATTCATCCCGCTTAAAGTCTTCACATCATGTCTTCGAAATAAAACATTTGAATTCCTGTCAGACAATAATTACATCGAACAAAACATCCAGAAAGGTTTCACTCCAAAACTCTCAGGAACACTAGAACATACTGCTCAGATGGCGCATATAATTAACACAGCGCGTACCAAGCAACGATCTATAGTTATTACATTACTCGATCTTAAAAATGCATTTGGCGAAGTCCATCACAACCTCATTTACGAAGTCCTTGATTATCATCACGTTCCTAATCACATAAAGAACCTTATCTGCAGTCTTTACACTGATTTCCAAACTTCCATCATAACCGAACAGTTCAACACCCCCTTCATTACAGTCGGTCGTGGCGTTCTTCAAGGCGATTGTCTCAGTCCACTTTTATTCAACATGTCATTCAACAGTTTCATACAACATATTAAATCTGAAAAACACCGTCAGCTTGGATTTTGGAAATTAAGTGAAATTGGCATTCCGTGCAATCCTATACATTGGTTTCAGTTTGTAGACGATGCTGCTGTCATCAGTAGCCAAGAGAAAGAAAATCAAATGCTCCTTAATCGTTTTACAATCTGGTGTCAATGGGCTAATATGATTATACGCGTTGACAAATGTTCAACATTTGGCATTAAAAAAC